TTCAATCAAAGAATCAAAAACTTTCATCGAATCAATTCAAAATAATAATAATAATAATAAATTTTCAATTAAAACGATGAATGAGAGAACAAACGCGAAAGAACAAACGGAAAATTTTACAAACAAACGTTCGAGTTTAAATTTAAAAAAAAAAAAAATTCACAAGAGTCCTTTTTCAAACTTGCCACGAATTTCCGACGAAAATGAAAGTAAAGAACGACAGCAACGACAAACGAGAAAAATCACTTGCGACAGACAATTATTACCGAAAACATCAAAACAAACAAATAAATAAAAATCTTTAACGAGACAAAACAAACAAACAAACAGTCGGGGGGAGGGAAAAGAAAAAAAAAAAACGAGCAGTCGGCGGAAAAAAAAAGGAGGGGGGAAAGAAGAAAAAAAATTTTTTTTACTCACGTGCGTGGGTGTAGAAGGGGAAGGGAGGTTGGGCGAGAAAAAAAACGTGGCAGCAGCAAAAACAAAAATGAAAAAAAAAAAAAAAAAAAAAATGAGACAAAGAAAATAAATAAAAACTTTTACGGGGGCACACAGCTTAACTGGCAATTTACAAAAAAAATAAAAAGAAAATTTCATTTTTTTTTTTTTTTTTTTTTTTTGTGACTTTGACTTTGATTGTTTTTGATAACCTTTCGCCCGGAGCCTTTTTTTTTTTCTTTTTTTTTTTTCTTGCCCGGATTTCGTAATTAACAATATGGCGGATTTCCCAACGTGGTCAAACACCATTGATTAGATAAAATCTTGATTTATTTTTTTAATTGAAGAAAATTGAGAGAGAGAGAGACGGAGAAACTCGGGAAATTTTTTTGTTTTTTTTTCGTCGCGAGCGTGAGAAAAAAAAAAAATTTTTTTTGTTTGTGATTTTTTTTTTTTTTTTAAGACCCCCAACCTCCATTTTTTTTTCTTCTACAAAATTTTCCATGGAAAAATTTTAACAAACGCGATAATAATTAATTCCGCGCAAAAATATTTAATTTTAATGGATCTAATTCATATCCATGAATGGTAAAAATAAATAAAAATTACGATTACGTTCCCTCTCAATCAAGATTCGAAATTCTAACCGAACTGGTGCCACGTTCGCAATTACGTCACACATCTCGAAATTTTCTAAACATTTTCAAATTCTAACGTCGCGATCGTTTGTTTGTTTTCCTTTTTTCTTTTTTGCAATAATAAATAATAATTAAATAAAAATCTATATATATTTCCGTTTTTGAAATCGATTCAAATCGATTTTTTCCAATAATTCAACAAAAAAAAAAAAAAAAAAGTTTTTTAAATTAACCTATCGCGTATGAATACAAAAGTACCAAATTTTTTAACAAATTCAAAATGGCGGGTATAAATCACTTTTCAAAAATGCGGGGGGGAAAAAAAATTGTTTACCCATTTACCTCCCTTCTCACCTCAATCGGGCGAATAAGAAAAAATAATAATAATAATAAATTTCTCCCTGATTTTTTTTTTTTTTCGAAAATAAAAAAACCGACGCTTTAATCGATTAAATTATAAAACGGGAAATAACGTCAAACGTAATTAATCAAAACAATTATGATTACTTATCCGCAACGTTAAATAGTACCGACACGTTACGCCAACGGAAAAACGAAGAATTGAAAACGACATTCGAAATGGCGGGAAGAGGAAAAAAAAAAAATTTTTTTTTTCTTTTTTTTTTTTTTTTTTTTCAAATGTGACGGAAATGATTTGTGTTTTTTAAAAAAAAAAAAAAAAGATTTAATTAATCGTGACCGCAAAAATTTTTTTCCACCATTAATTTTTCTTTTTTTTTTCCCCTTTCGAGAAGAAAAAAAAAAATAAAAATAAAAACCGTTACGAAACGAACCCCACAATTATAAATTTTTTCAAATCGCGAAAAAACAATTTATTAAAAAAAAAAAAACTAAAACTAAACCTTCTCATTCTTTTCTCTCATTAAGCATAATAAAATTTCGAAAAGTGATAATAATTATAAAAAGTTTTTTTTTTTTTTTCGACATCATTCGTAAAATGGATGAAGACATATCAATCATGGCGGCGTCCGTTATATAACAAACCCAAAAAAATTGAAAATGAAAATCGCATGACAAAAAACATAAATATTATCTATCTCTCATTGAAATTGTTATACACAAACACACACACACACACACACAAAATAAAATTATTAACAAAATTTTTCCCAGAGTTATTCAATTCATCAAACAAACTTACAAACAAACAATGTTAAAAAATTCAAAAGAAAAAAAAAGAAACTCATTCGAAACAATTTTTTAATAATAATAATAATAATAATAAATTTCACATTGTAAAACATCAAATTACACTTGAGTACAAAAAAAAAATAATAATAATAATAATTTTTTTTCTCTATCAAATTAAATCAATCAATGTCGGTTTAATGTCAAATTTAACCTTATAACCTCTCCTCTCCCCTCCCCTCCTTTCCTTTCCTTTCCCCTCCTCTTTTTAAAATACAAATAACTTACTGAACACACACACAAGTCTCGAATAAAAACAAACAAATCAATTCGATATGAAAAACATTTTTTTAAATAACTGCAAATATCATCTCATCATACATTTTTTAATTACAACATATAATCAAAAGTGATAGAGAGAGAGAGAGAGAGAGAGAGACAGAAAAAAAATTAAATTAATTAATTAATATTCAAAATACACTCGAGAAAACTTTTCTTTCATAACCAATTACCATGAATAAAATTATTAAATTTCAAAAAAAAAATTCATTTGAAATTCTTATTTATGCAAAATATCATTCATTCAAAGACACTTGATAAGTGTTAATAATAATAAAAATAAAAAATAAATAAAAACTGACACATGCACACATGCACAATTGTTATTTACATAAAATCAATTCATATACTATATCAATTATCTTCATACACATACACACAAACACAGTTAAAGCCGAAACGAATACAACCATATCCAATAACTATTAATTCGGTTTTAACGTTTAACATGTACTTCTCATTATCGTTTAATTATACATTTTAATCAATTTTCATAACTAGTTAAAATTCAAATAATTTTAACTTACTTATAAACAAATAAATGAAAAACCAACACACACACACACTCATAAAATTGTCTTTGAATGCATTTTTTTTTTTTCAAAATCGAATTCTTTTTCTGTTATAAAAAATTTCATTAATCGAATTTAACAAATTTGGCAATTATCGAATAAATAATGATGATGTTAATGATAATAATCAGTTTGTATGTGTGTGTGTGTGAGTTTATTTTTTTCTTTTCTTCAAATAATTATTTTAAACTCAGACAATAATAATTAAAACAAACAATAGAATAAATTTATTTAAAAGATCATTAACCTCACACCTCACCAAAGAAATAAAAAAAAAGAATCCGATTTAAAAATGTGTCTGTGTGTGTGTGTGTGTGTGTCTGTGTTATGTTTATTCATTTAATTAACGCTAGTAATAATAATAATAATAATAATTTTTAAACGTTTTAAATCAAAGAAATCAAATAGGTATTAATAATAATAATAATAATAATAATTTGTTTGTGTGACAAAGTTTAAAAATTATTATTATGATAATGATGGTAAAATCTAACGGTTTAGGTTATGTATGTAAAAATTTGACACGTTGAATCCATAATTAATTAATTGATTTCAAACGTTATTTATTATGATTTGTGTGCGTGTCACGCACATAAAAATGCGTAAATAAATAAATAAGTAAAAAATTTTAAAAAAGAAAAAAATAAATAATTTAATGTGACTTACAATTAAAATTGTGGTTAACAAACGTTAACGTTGATATCGACACAAAACCAACGGAAATAATTAATAACGATAAAATCTCTTCGGTTCGTTATTATTTTAATTAACAAATAATTACGTTAATATTTTTTTAATTTAAATAATAATAATAATAATAATAAATAAATAAATAAATAAAAATAACGGTTAATCACGATATATATATATCGATTTTAAATTGTTTTCGTTACACACTTTTACCGGAAAAAAAAAAAAACGAAACGAAAAGAAAAAAAAATTTAAAATAAATAAATTTAATTTATTGTTATTATTAGTATTATTATTATTATTATTATTATTATTACGTATTCATTCACCGGGAACGAAACAAACGTTTATACTCGCGATCACTAACTGATCCATTGCAAATAACCACTGAAAGCAACACATTGCAATATGTGTTCGTGTGACTGTCTGTGTGTGAGTGAGAGAGAGAGAGAGAATTTAGGGCCCCGAAATAACGTGTACGAAAATTTAACGGACGATATGATGAGTTGTTTATGTAAATAAACGCGGGAAATTTGAATTTTAAATTTTACCCGCGTAAAGTTAATTTATAAATCGTTTTAACTTTTTTTTCGTTAAAATCGATTCGATTATCTCGATTTATTTCGATTTTCATTTAAAAAAAATGAAAATTTTTTGTCGTCACTTACGCCACAGCATAATCAAAATAAATTTCTTTAAATAATAATAATAATAATATATACTATATCAAATATCTCTCTACGTTCGTTTATTTAATATTCGTATCACATTTTCGACTTTATAATTTGTCATAATAATAATAATGATAATAATAATAATAATAATAATAATAATAATAAGTGTTTAATTTCATTATATTAATTATTAAAATGGTGCAATATACGAAATAAATAATATCGTGCAGTGAAATTGATTTCATGTGTTTGTTTGTTTGTTTGTTTGTTTCATTCTCTCATTGATTTGACTCCACGCGTTTAAAATGATTGTTTTGTTATTATTATTATCATCATCATCATCACGCTTGGTTTTTTTTTTTTGGGGGGGTGCGTGAAGTCAACAAACAATATACGTAAAATATACTTCTAATAAATTCGAAGTTATTTTTTTGTTAATTCATTTGTTGTTTGTTGTTTGTTATCATCCTTCATCAGAGTTTTTTTTTTTCGCGTTGTTTTCATTGACCCGTTTCTTCCGTATTATCACCGTTGGCAAGTTTTAATCCATTTTTTTTAGATTTTTTTTCCTCGTTGATTTTATCCATTGAAGGATCATCCCATTTTTGCCTTTTACCAGATGAAAATAATAAATAAACGGAACCGCAAGCCACGTAAATTCCAGCAGCTATAAAAAAAACTATCCTCCATTGAGCTTGAGTCGGCTGAAACGAAACAATAATAATAATAAGGAAATAATGATGTTGACACGATGGCTTTTCCGCGTTTTTCCGCGATTGACGTTTGGGAGATCACGTGATTTTAATAAAAAAAAAATGCATTCAAATTACCTTTCCGTGTATTATGTGGCCTGCCGTTATCGGTGCCAACAATCCGGCTAAATTAGCTAAACAATTAGTAAAACTCATTAATATGCTAGCAAATCTCGGTGATATGTCTAAGTGATTGACTTTGAACCCTGAATAAATTCCGCCATTTAATCCCACTCCGATTGTTAGTAAAGCAACCGTCAATGGAGGATTACAACCGGTATACGATGCGGCAATCAATGCGATAGCCGGACAAAATTGTCCTGGAAAACAAAAAAAGAAAATGAATAATGATGATGATGATATTCATTTTTCTTTCATTTTCGTACCGATTGTGTTGATTATTTTTCTCGTCGTGGTATGCGAGAACCTTCCGCTCGATATCATCCAATCTACGACGTGACTGACGGCCATTGAAAATATCCACATGGCAAGATAAGGCAAAGCAGACAGCGTACCGTTCTAATAAATAAATTATTATTATTATTACTATTACTGTCGAATCGGAAAACTTTTTTTTTTTTTATATAACTCACGGATTTTATGTCGAAATGAAGAACTTGTTTCATAAAAGTTGGAAGTTCGGTCATCAAAGTTTCGTAACCGTAATTTTGTCCAACATGAGCTACAGCAATGGCCCAAAAGGGAATTGACGTAAAAATATCCTTCCATGGAACCGAAGTCGACTGGAATAAATAAATTTTTTATGGAAAAACGTATTTTCCGACGACGACCATGATGATGATGATGATTTTTACGAAAAGGGGAGGGGGAAAACTTACGGTGACTCCTTCTGCTCCCCATAATGAATTAACTATATATTTTCTTTCCTGATCTGATATTTTCGGATGACTTTCAGGATCTTCGTAAACAGTGAAAAAAAATGCCAAACACCAAACGGTACCGATAATTCCGAAAACGTAAAAAATAGATGGCCATCCACCGGAAAAACCATATTCGGCAAGAAGACCGCTCAATGGCATCGATATGACAGTACCAAATTGTGCACCGGCATATACGAAAGCTCCCATTCTGCTCCTTTCGTTAGGTGGTATCCATTTGGCAAGAAGAGCGTGTGTGCAAGGTACGATCGGACCCTGTGGAAAAAAAGGATAAATTTAATTCAAACAAACATGGCGGGATCAACGAAATTTTGTAAATGTTTTACGTTACCTCTCCGAGACCCTGAACAAATCTACAAATTATCAACCATCCGATTCCTAAATCAGCTGATATGGGTACTAAAAATGCAAAAACCGAATTGACCAACATACCGATTCCTAAAAACCATTTGGCACCATATTTTTTTGCCAATATACCAAAAGGTATTTGAGTTATGACGTAACCGTAAAAAAAAGACGATAGGACGTAACCTTGAATTGTTGAATCCCATACGTATTTACCATTACCTATAATTTCTTCCTCGGTGTTCGGTGAAGGGGATGTTAAATTCTGTAAAAGAAAAAACAATTTTATCAATTGATTGTATCGATTGTCGGCAAACAACAAACGACTAATTATCTATTATCATTGGCACGCAATCGTAATTTACGATAAACGTACTAAAGTACGTAATAATCTATTCGAACCGGAAGTTCTTCCATTTTTTAAATATTAAAAAAAAAAGAGAGAAAAAAGGGGAAAGGGAAGGAGGAAAACGGAAATGGAAAGCACAACTCACCGTCAAATTTCCTTTTCCGTAATCGAAACATTCATTGTCGTATATTTTTTCGTGTACCGGTAAAGCCGAATGATTAACCATTGCAACAATTGCCACAGACATGTTGGTACGCATGACGTAAGCATTCGACATGCCGAGAAACAACATGAAAGTCGTTATGTATCTTGCACCGAAACATCCTAGAAACAAACAAACAAAAACAAACAAAATTTTAAAGTGGCAAAAAAATAAAAAAATAAACATCAGATGGTTTTTACCCCGGGGAGTTTAAAACCCCTCCCCCCGACATTTAAATTTTAAAATAATTTTAAAAAATTAACAGGTGATTCGAGGAGGAGAAGGGGGGGGGAAATAAACAAAATTGTGACGTAAAACAAAGAATTTAAAACAAAATAAAATGCCAACAATAATTTTTTTTTTTTTTTTTTTAAATTTGTTTGTCGTTTGTCTGCCAAAAAATTTTTTTTAAAGAATCACGTGAACTCATGCAAATCTTTACAATTTTAAATGTAAATTTATTACGCAAACTATTTTTTTTTCTTTTTACCTGTTTCTTTTATATTTTTATTTATTGTTTCAAAAATTTTATTAAAATAATTATTATTATTATTATATATATAAATTTCTTTGTTTTTATTTTTTTTAAAACCGGAAATACGTCACGTTCGATTCGCAAACCGTAAAAAAAATATACATATACATTTATTTAAACGCATTTTGTTGTGTGAAATTTTTCATTATTATTATTATTATTATTATTATTCGTAACCGACAAAAAATTATTCAAGGTCAAATGGAAAAAGGGAAAATGGTTTAATTTTAAGGCCCTAAAAAAAAAAATTAGTAATTATCGAAACGAGGGATTTTTTTTGTTTTACTTACACGAAAGCCACTTAAAAAGTTATGAAAAAAAAAATTATTTTGTTTCTTCTCTCTCTCTCTCGATCGGAAAAAGGTGGATTAAAAGGAGAGAGAGAAAGAGAGAGAGGAAATTATTAAACCGGAAATAGGAACGAATCAATTTGGATTAACAAAACAAAAGTTTTGGGTATATAATTTTTAAAAAATTTCGTTCCGGCCATTACGATCTCACGTAGTTTTTTTATATCCCCATCCCCCCACCACCTCCCCAAATCCTCCCTTAATATAAACACCTTCCCCTCCTCCCCCCGAAGGAACAAATCGCTACCGAATTAATTAAATTCGAAAAAAAACTTAAAATACCACATGGAGATGATACCTTCTTTTAAGGCGTCAAAAAGACACGAAACTAAAAAAAATCACAACAAACAACAAACATCAACAACAAACAACAACCTGGAATTTTTTTTTTTTTTTTTACAAAACCAGGCACATTAAAAAAAAAATTTTTTTTTTGTTTTTGTTACCTTTTATATCTTCGACAACTAAATCCTGATCTATTAAAATTTTGTGTGTTGCATTCGATGTCGCCAACTTTTCGTCGCTTTTAATTATTCGATGCATTTAACGTCACGAAAATTTTTCTTTTTTTTTTTTTAAAAATATTAACGGCGGAAATTTCCCGCCTGTATTATTATTATTATTATTACGTAAACAAGTGAAAAATAATTTTCAACTTTGACCTTTTCACTTTATAAAATTTCATTACAATCCTTTTTCTTCTTCTTCTTTTTTTTTTTTTTTTTTTTTTTTTTGAAATAATAAAAATCCTACGCAACGTCAGTCATTGACTGGTAAAACGAATAATAATAATAAGAAAATTTTATTTACCACCGAATATATATTAAATAATAATTCAATCAATCAATCAATCAATCAATCTTTGAATGAATGATTTAATTTTTAAAAATAGCGAGACGAAAATATTTTTTTTTTAAACTTTAATCGATCGAATTCGATTTGATCGTAGAGACTGCGAAAAAAATTTTTTTAAAATTTTATTTTAACGTAAAGAGAGAGAGAGAGATAGAGAGATAAAGAGAGAGAAAGAGAGATAGTGCGTGTGCGTGAGTACGTGCGTGTGAAAAAATAATTAGACAAATTCACAGTTAAAATGAAATTTAAAAGAAAAAAAATTTTTGAGTTAGTGATAACTCATCTTGTCATCGTACGTGTATAATTTGCGTTCAATCTCTCTCTCTCTCTCTCTTTTTCATTCATTCAACGTATCATCTCTCTCTCTCGTTCACGCGCACGCACGCACCCACATCATTTTTTTCTTTTTTTTCGCGATTATGCAACTTTTGAATTTTTTTTTTTTCATTTTTTTTCGAATTAAAATTTGTTTGACGTTAATTTAATTTAAATTTTATTTATTTATTGTCAATTGTTTTGTTAACTAAATTGTTTATAACAATTGTCATCACCTTTTTAGTTATTAATTCAAATTAAATTCGAATTAAATTGGAATTTAATTTGAATTTTAATTTTACAAAAAAAACGAAAAAAAAAAGAGAAGAGAAAAAATGAAAAATTGTTGAAGGTTAGGGTCAACACCTGTCAACATGTATGAAATGATATCGAGCAAATTTAAATTTTTAATTTTATTATTATTATTATTATCGTTTTGCACGCGTTCGCACGCCCCCACGGAATCCCCCCTCTCTCTCTATCTCTCTCTCTCTTTTATTAAAATTTTAATTTAAATTTCGTTTTCACTGTCAACACATTTAAATTTTTTTTTGAAACAACAATAATAATTAAAACATTTTTAAAAATGTTTAATTAATAATAATAATAATACATCAAATTTGATTTGATTCACCTTAACACGACCCTGATTTAAACTCGACACATTATTATTATTATTAATTTAAACGCGAAACGTGAAAATGAATTTTTTTTTGATTTTTCTCCTTCGTACGATGTCTAACCCGAAACCCGACTAAAAAAAAAAACAAAAAAATGACGACGACGACGACGACGACGACGACGACGACGACAATGACAACGATGATAATGATAATGATGATGATGATGATTACGATATTGTTAAAATAATTTTGACGCAAATTTTTAAATAAACATATCACGAAACAACAACCAAAACAACCAGAAGAAAAAAACTTTGACTGAAAAGTGAAACAAAAAAGTTTTCCGTCCGTGGAAAAACTGCAAACAAAAATAAAAAAAAGCTCTTATCAGCCGGCAAAAGTAATTAACGGTGAACCTTCGTTTCAAATTTTTTTTTTTTTTTTTTTTTTTTTGAAAATCGATCGTAAATAATAATAATAATAATGATAATAAAGGTTTTTTTTCCTTCGCTTTCGAGTTAAAAGCACGTTCGAAAACCACGTTATTGACGCGTGAAAAAAAAAAAAGCGAAAGTTTTTCAAAAGCAGTTAAAAAAAAAAAATTTTTTTCGATATATAAATCGATTATCGAAATGAACGAATATCGAACGTTTATCGAAACCGAAAATTCGATTCGATAATTAATAAAACACAAAAAAAAAAAAAACATTTCAAAAATTCTCTTTTCAAAAATGGATTTCTTTCCTAAACGAAACACCTGAAAAAACGTCGTTTAAAATAATAATAATAATAGTGATGATGATGATGATGATGATGATGATAATAATAATAATAATTTAACGTTCGTTTGTTTTATATTCATTTCGTAAAACGAATTTGCCCGTAGAATAATTTTCGTTTAAAAAAAAATGGAAAAACTAGTTTTGTATGTTCGTTTGTTTGTTTTCAATGGGATTGATTTTTTTTTTTTTTTTTTATATTTTTATTAAAAAAAAAAAAAAAAGGAAACCATTTTTTTTTGTTCAGGTTTGACCCTGAAAATGTATCAGGTATACTCATTACCATGAAATGTTAAGGTAACTAAAAAAAAAAAAAAAAAACTAATTTTTTTTTTTTTTGTTTCACTTTAACGTGTCGATTTCGAATGGAAAGAGAGAAAAAAAAGCAAATAATAATAATAATAATAATAATAATAATAATAATAATAATAATAATAATAATAATAATAATGATGATGATGATGATGATGATGATAATGATTCCACGTATCGATTGATTTTTCTCAAAATTCTATTTAAAAAAAAAAGTTTCGCGATTTTCGGGTTTAAAAAAAAAAAAAAAGTTTTGTTTGCCGTATAAATTACGTAAAAGACAAACAACAAACAAAATGGTGACAAACAATAGAGTAACAAACAAATTATACATATATAAAAACAAAGAACGAACAAATAATAATAATGATGATGATGAAAAGAGGAAAATTATAAAAATTTTTCTTTCACGAAAAAAAAAAAAATATATACATATACGCATATATGTAAAAATACTACGCGCACGCGCACTCGCATACGCACGTAATTTCGTTCAAAGGTGCGCAAATGGTAATCATATTATGTAAAAGGAAATGTTCAAAGGTCAAGAAAACAAGACGACGACGACGTTTAATAGATAACAAGATATTAGTCTAGAGAAAAAAAAAAATTTATAATCTTTTTTTTTTCCCCAAAAAAATTTTTTCTTTTTTTCAACCCGTGAATTTATCCGTGCAAAAAATTTACTACTAATAATAATAATAATATGATAATGAATTCAGGTACGTCAAAATCGACCTAAAAAAAAAAATACGTCCATATTTAAATAATAATAATAATTTAAATATTAATTTATTACGTTGACGCGTATTTTTACTGTTTTTTTTTTTTTTTTTTACGGTCGAATGTTGTTCTTGTTTCACATGTTTTGCACGTGTTTAATGTCGCGAAAAAATAAATTTAAAATAATGATAATAATAATAAAAAAAGAAAATGGCGACAATGTCGCAAACGTAACAAAAAAAAAAAATTTAATTTAATTTAAAATTTTTTATACGATTTGATTTGTTATTGAATGAACTAAATATGAAACGTCTGAGAAATTTTTACTTTTTTTCTAACCTTATTATTATTATTATTATTATTATTAGTATTATCATCATCATCATTATTATTATTATTATTATTATTATATGAAATTTTAATACGTTTATAAAAAAAAAAAAAAAAACGTGAGAAAAACCCCTTCTCGACTGAACATCGTTTTCCTCATACATTTTTTTTTTTTTTTTTTGCATTCGTGACGTTTTAAATAAACCGTTGGTTGTTTTGCCCCCTTTCCCCCCCCCCCTATTCTCCCCGCTCTCCCCCCATTTTTTTATTTATTTATTTATTATTAACAATAATCGATAATTTACCGTAACAAATTTAAACTTTCATTTTTTCAAATATTTGAAAATAATAATAATAAATATTGTAATGAAAAGTTTTCTTTATTTTTTTATGTTATTTTCCCCCCTTTTAAAATTTCCCAACTTCCACCGCCCCTTCCTCCTCC